ACGTATCATGAGGGGCGTTGACTTTGCTTCCATAATTTTTTCCGAAATGATGATGGCTTATTGATGAAGTTCCAAATAAAACAGAAATGCAAACACTCCTTGATTTACGTGGTAGTGCATTCTTAGAAAATTGAATGTATATTGGAACATTGCCAGAGAGTTATATTTTACAAATGTACATAAAAGCCCAGTGGGACCTGGGAAGTCATGTGTGTGGGTATGTACAGTTCTTCCCCTCAGAGGACTGTCCCATGCACTGCAGAGCATCATGCAGCCCGGGGTCCCATCTGTGAAAGAAAAGTGGTACTTCCCCCAGTCATGCTGATAAACACAAATGCCAGAATGTTGCCTTTAGACAGTAACCTTGAAAGGTGGAAACAAGTCTTAGAGCATGAACCCTTCAATTCTTCTGTATTCCCATATTGATTCTTGGTTTCCGGTCACCCCGTCTACCTTCAAATGAAACCTTCTTTATGATAAACACTGCCTTGTCCTGCCTATTCTTATTGTACATTGTCTTTGTGAATACCAATACTGCAATATGGAGCAAGTCTGGATTCCTGAAACCATCTCAAAATTCTGTGCTTTCTGATAGAGTCATTTCTCATTCTGTCCAATTTCTGAGTGTGCAATTTCCCAGCCTTTTGTGACTTTAAAGCCACCACTTGTATTGCATCTCTCCAGCTGATCCCTTGTCCTGGCTGGCAGTTATGCTATGCACTGGTTTGATGCATGTCATTTCTCCAGCCTCAGGTCTGACCTGATTGCTTATTTCTTGTTTGAGATTGGAAGTAAAAAATACCTGTACAAAACCAAATTTATTTTTCAAAGAGATTGAAAGGGAAATTGTCGGGTTTATTTGGAGAGAAAAAAAAGACTGAAAAACTAAAATGACATGAGAGACATAAAACCTCAAAGCCTGCTACACAGTGATAGTAACCAAACGGCATGGTACTACTGGTATGATGACAGGCACATAGACCAATAGAACAGAATTGAGAACCCAGGAATAAACCCAGCTATCTATGGTCAATTGGTATTCAACAAGGAAATAAAACCTATCAGATGGGGAAATGCCACCTTCTTCAACAAATGGTGCTGGCAAAACTGGACTGCTACTTGCAGAAAGGTGAAACAGGATCCACATCTCACACCATACAAAAAAATCAACTCAAGGTAGATCAGAGACCTGGGAATAAAGCCCCAAACCATACAGTTCATAAGAGACAAATTGAGACCAACCTTAGAAGGCCTACCCTGTGGTATAGAGAGACTGCCAGACACAGCTAGAAATACACAATCTGGAGAGGGTAACTTTGATGAATGGGATCTTCTAAAGATTAAATCCCTCTGCACATCAAAAACATTTTCCAACTGAGTGAAAAGAAAACCCTAGTGCCTCAGACAAGAGTCTCATAGCAAAAGTTTACAGAATTCTACAGGGCCTACACACACACACACACACACACACACAAAAGTGATAACAAAACTACATAATGAGCAAAAGGCATGGAAAGAATTTTCAGAGAGGAAGATATTTGGATGGACAAGAGACACATGAAGGCTCACTGTCACTGGCAGTAAGAGAGATACCAATCAAAGCCACAATGAAGTACCATCTCACCCCCGTAGCAATGGCAGAGTTTAACAGGACAGCAAGTAATATATGTTGGAGAAGATGTGGAGAGATAGGAACTCATGGTGGAATTGTAAAATGGTGCAACTGTTCTGGAAGGCAGTTTGACACTTCCTCAAAAAGCTGAACATAGTAATTCCATATGACCCAGTTATTCCACTACTTGGAAAATACCCTGAGAAAATGAGAATTGAGGCACAAACAGAGACTTGTACACCGGTGTTCATAGCAGTGTTACTCACCATCACAAGAACATGGAAACAGCCCAAATGTCCAACCACAAACAAACAGATTGAGAAATTATGGTATATTCACATGATGTGATACTACACAGCATGTAGGAGCAATGATTTTGAAAATTACTACCTAATTTGGAGACTCTGGAAGGCATTATGCTAAATGAACTAGTTCAGTTCCTTAAAGACAAATACGGTATAAGACCACTATTATAGAAACAGAAAGATAACTAGTTAAATATGTATTAGAATCTAAATGGGGGATAGGGTAAGAGCAGAGGGGTGAGGATGGGCAGAATCATAGGGTCCAACAGTTTGGTGGATAGAGGGAGGAATGGGTAAAAGGAAAGGTGAAAGATCCAGTTTGAAAAACAATGTATAAGAACTTTATAAATAAACCAATATCAAAAAACAAATTTTATAAAAAATAAAGGCATGTACAGACTACATGCCACTTGATTGTGACATTCTTTCTCTTGCCTCTAAGTGGGATTCAAGATTTAGGGCTATCGTTATTCTAACTGTTGTTTGGATCTATGGGCTCAGCTGTGACTCAAGGTGATCCTTGTACAACAAAATTTAACATTGGCCAATAATCCTGTGCGCTTGCTATGCTAGAATCCATTGTTGCAACCACCTCATGTTTTTGAGAGTCTTCTAAACTCAAAGACTCATCTTTCGCCACCGTATCAGATAATATCCTGTTGTATCCATAGGATTTCCATTGACTGTGGGAAATAGATAGATATTTAAAATGAAACAAAAGAGTTTATTAGTGGCTCTCAGAACAGATTTACTGTCTGAGGCCAGAGAAAGGCAGGGCAGGCAGTAAAGTTACCAGTGAGGAAGTGTTACAGGTTTAACTTTATAGGTAGAGGTTGGGCGTAGGGTGGTCAAACTGGTGGTCAGTTCTCATAGAGAAAGTTAATTGGATGCCCTTTGTTAGCTTCTAATGACGGAGCTGCTCAGTCATGCAAGATGTGGTTGATGGCTGGGTTTCCTTCTGATTGGCCACAGTCACCTTACACCAGGTAGATTGGGATGTCTCTTAGAAGGTGCGGTCAGCACAAGATGTTGCCCAGCCCCCAAGGTGACCTTTCATTCCAGCCTTTTTGGTTACATAGGGACGATGTAGTCTCTCTGGCTACTTCCTGCTGAATAGGGGCGGCGAATGGAGCTGGCTGGTGGGCTGGAAGGAGGTTCATTTGGGAGCTGGGAATATGGGTGGAGCAACATTTGTTTTACTGCAACTCGAGAGATTTCCTGGATGAGGTTCTGTAAAAACTTAAAAAAAAAACCAACAAGGAGCAACCATTAATACTGAACAAACTATTAAGAGAGGACCAAGAACTGGGGCTAACCAGGAATATAGTGGAGTCTTGAGTATAGGTTTCTTGGACACAAAACCTCCATACAGAGTCTTGAGCTTTAACCGGTGAGGCCAGGAGGAGAGTTAGAGAGACAGGAGGAAGGGAAGGAGAAAGGGGGCCTTCCCACAGAAGGCGTGACCTGGTGAAATGCAGGCTGGTGGGTCCAGTTGGCTTAGACATCCAGGGGGCTTGGGTTTCAGATGGTGCAGGAGCCCGTTTGATGCGAGAAACATGGTACCAGAATGAACGGCCGAGAAGTTTGACAGCTGTAGGTGTAGTTAGAATAACAACATGAGGACCGGACCAACGTGGGTGGAGGGGGTCTGGGTGCAGACTTTTAAGAAGAAAAGATTCACCTGGCTGGAGGAGAGGGTGTTTCTCTGAGGTAGGTGTACAGAGAGCTGACGGGAGGGTCCTGTCAGCATGTTCTCGTAGAAGATGCCTTAATAGAGATAAATAGGGTAGGTAGGAGGCTAACGGGGGAGGCTCATATGGAAAATTATGTGTGAGAAGGAAAGGACGCCCACAGAGAAGTTCAAATGGCCTAAGTCCAGAAGGGGAACGTGGAGCTGCACGTAACCTGGTTAGAGCTAAAGGGAGTAGAGTGGGCCAAGAAAGTTTTACTTCAATGGAGAGTTTGGTTAGGTGATCTTTTAGAAGAGCATTGGCTCGCTCTACCTTTCCAGACGACTGGGGATGATATGGTACATGTAGCTTCCAGGTGATGTTTGGAGTGGTTGATACCTGTTGAACAATTTGGGATACAAAGGCAGGCCCATTGTCTGACTGGATATGAGTGGGTAAACTAAAATGAGGTATGATCTGTTCTATTAATGTGGAAGGAACTACAGCTGTTGTTTCATGTACTGTAGGGAATGCTTCAATCCAGCCTGAAAAGGCTGTTAGTAAGTAACGCCATTTCTTGTGCATATGGGTGAAGTCAATATGCCAGTTTAGTCCTGGTAAATGTGCCCTTATTTGGTGAGACCTTAGTGCGAATTTGGAGTATTTTGCTAGCTAGAGAAGGTGTATAGAACAAAGGCTAGACAAAACGGCAAAGTGCTGTAGGTCCAATGTGGAGAGAATTATGGATATTTGTGAAGATTTCTATAGCTTGAGAATTGGGCAGAGCAATTTTATCTCCAAAAAAAATCCGACCTTTCAGTGTAATGTTTCCTCCTTTTGCTTGCAAAGTGTTAACTTCATCACAGGAATAGATAGGATTAACTTCAGTAGTGAGGAAAAGGACAGGAGCAGGAGAAGCGCAAGTTTGGCTACGGGTGACAGCGGCAGCTTTAGCATTTCCTTGAGCAACAGGGGTTTGGGCTGACTGGTGTCCTTTGCAGTGCACAATGGCTACTTCAGAAGGTAGGAGGAGAGCTTTTAGTAGTTTAGAAATGAGAGTAGCTTTAATGACTGGAGAGCCTTTAGTAGTAAGGAATCTTCAGGGCTTATTTTCTAGTCTGCCTTAGTTTGAAAGGTCCCTTAAAACCTATCCACTAGGGATGATCCTTCTGGTATTAGAAATACCGATAACATAGCCTCCACTCTCTTAGTAAATACAAGCCACAGAGAGCAGTACAACAGGCAGAGAGGTGGACTGTCTGTTTTGGACCATCACTTAATGTATATACTTAGAAGTTGTTATCTACACAAACACTATTTGGTACATAACATTAATAAATCTCATCCTACCCAAAAAGCTAATAGAAAGTAAATGTAACTGAATATGACTCTGAGAGTGTCTGTCTTTTCTAGCTAACATCTCAGCATCCTTATGCCGAAGTTTTCATTGGCCGGCCCCATGTGTGGACTGTCGACCTCAACAACCAGGAAGAAGTGGAGGATGCAGTGAAAGCAATTTTAAATCAAAAGGTGTTGTTTTTTATTATCATTTTTATTGTCATTATGATTGCCATTTCATTGTGAATGTGCGTTACAAGTTCTCTGTTTTAGTAAGTAGAGCTTTCTGTGGTGTTTTAATCCTGGAATAAGAAAATAATCAAGCTGGAGGATTTGATCAAGGTTCAAAGGATTTGACCATGGATGTTCAGTGAATTGGAAACAGCTGGTGCCACATGTGTGCACTGATTCTACAAACTGTTCTGTCAATAACATTTGGATGCTAGACATAATTGTTGTTGATTGCTGTCAAGTCGAGTACGACTCATAATGATCCTATGAACAAACACCTGAAGCCTTTCTATAACTATCGTTTCTCAAAGTTCATAGTTTCCAGAGGCATGTTGTTTAGGAAGTGGATGCCACTCCTGCTTCCAACCAGACATAATAGGAGCATGAATTACACTTGGCTCAGTGATCTAGTTCAGATCTCTCAAAGATCTAAAAAGATACATTGTCATTGTTTCCCCTAATAAAAAGAGAGAAAGCTAAGAATAGGATTTTGTATAACATTTATTTGATTTTTTTACCTAAACATTTTATATGGGAGTTAATAACCAGAATCTACCCATAATAAGCATATGACCAGTATTATTTATGGAGTAGCACTATTATTCCTCTTTTGATGATGAGAAAATGAAAGATTAAAGAATATAAGTAATTTACAAGATCATACAATTCGTATGAGACTGAACTCGGGTCTTTTAGACTGGTTTGTTAAAACAATATAAAATTTAAAATTAAGAAATTATGGAATGAAGTAAACAAAAGAGGAAGGGGAAAGGAAATTGCATAATTAGGTTAATAGCAAAATTATCGCTATGAAAATCCCAACGCTTGTTATAAAATGAATCAGAAATTTTGTGCCAAGTGCTTTCCTATCAGATGATAAGATTTTACGTTTTTAATTACATGACACTCAAAACACAGGGCAAGAAGACCATCATTAAGAAGAGATCCTGTCAGTCAAAGACTGAGAGCTGGCATAGGTGTTGGAATTAGAGGGAGCAACTTTAAAATAGTTTAATATATTAAAATGTTTAGTAAGAAAAATTGATCCTTGGAGGGGGAAGGATTTTGACACTCGTCTCACGTATTTTGGGCATGTAGCCAGGAGGGACCTGTCTTTGAAGAAGGACATCATGCTTGGAAGGGTCAAGGAACAGCACAGGAGAGGAAGACCCCAGATGAGAAGGACTGACAAAGTAACTGGGGTAATGAGGGTAGGTGTGGTAAAGACAGTGAGATTGGCTCAGGAGAGAGCAAAGTTCAGAGCTATTGTACATGGGGTCTCTGTGTATCACAGTCGACCCGGCAGCACATAACAACAACGTGTGTGAGAAGGTGGTGGATTTCCACAGAGACAGGAGGTAAGAAATTTAAGCCAATTGAGAACTCTAGAAACGGAAAATAAAAATACCTATAATATCAAGGATCATGAATTACTTCAGTGGGCATTTTAAGTACATTTTGCACCACAGGAAAAATTTAAAGACTTAACTATAAAAATTATCTAAATGAAACCATGATAAAAGGGAAAATGAGAAAATAGAAAGCATCTGAGATTTGTGGGCTATTATCGGTTTAATTTATGAATAGTTGGGATCGGAGAAGAAGGAGAGAGAAAATAGTGTACAAGAATTATTTCAAAAAAGAATAGCTGAAACCCTTTTTTAAAAAAAAAAACAAAAAACAACTAGTGAATGGCATTAACTTCATGTTCCTGGAGGCCAGTGAACCCCACAGGATAAAAACAAAAAAATACACCTTAGTGCATTGTAGTCAAACTGCTGCAAAGCAGAATCAGCTTGAGAAAAAATCTTGAAGGCAGCCATGGAAAAGGTTCATGGTGACCACGAAGGGTTTCCAGGGGCTGAGACCTGTAAAGTCCGCAAAGACTTTAACCAAGTGCTCATAAGGAGCTCTGGATTTTATTCTTAGTGTGATGGGAAGTTCTGAGCAGAGAAATGGCATGACCTAGTTTACATTTTAAATTATCAAGACTAACTTGGGTTTCCGCCTCCCCCCACCCCCAAAGTTGAATATCTATCTATCTATCTATCTATCTATCTATCTATCTATCTATCTAAGGGGTATTTTTAAAATTATCTAATGAAAATTTTCAAACAACCTTGAAAGTAGAGAGTGAAATGAGCCTTTATGCACCCATTACATAACTCAGAATCTTGCCATTCATAAGTAGAGCAGGCAGGACTTAAAGCATGGCCTTCAGGTGCCTGTGTCCCTCTCTCTTGAACAATGCCAGGCCACACTGTCAGGTGGGCCTGGGGAAGGGTTAGCTCACATTGTGTCTGAGAGCAATCCTTCGTAGGAGTTTTACCCAGACTTAGAAAATTGATATTGGGGGGTGGGAGCAGAAGAGAAAGGAAATGCCACAAGAAAGGAGATCAAGAGAAGAAAAGGTGAAAGATAGAAAGATAATGGGAAATTTCCAAAGTGAGCAGGAATGACACATTGCAGCTTGCGACATCCTTCCTGTGGCTGCCTATTTGAAAAATAGTTTTGGTTTTTTGTTTTTGTGGGGGTTTTTTTTGTTTTTTGTTTTTTGTTTGGCTTGTTGTTGTTTTTTTTGTTTGTTTTTTTTCCACAAAGCAGGGTGACTAGCACTCCATAACCGCTCTGGTTGGTGTCTCAGAGATGGTTCCAGTATCCCCTTTCATTCTACCCCTAAAGAACTCTTGAAGTACATGACTTAGCACACAAAAACAAGAATGAGTGCTGTTGTTTGCCTAGTTCACTGACCAATAAATTGAATATAGGCAAGCTTAGACTTAACAAGGAGATGAGACAATGCTTCCTTACCCCAGGACAGGAATGCTGTTGGACTGAAGCACTAACACACCTTGATTATGGTTATTTACTCCCAAATGAAATGCCCTTGCAGCCAGCAGACTCCTGAGAACACAGGCCTCATGGTATTGACACAAGCAGGTGCAGCAGAGAACATGGCTATCTCTCTTCCCTTTCTCTCATGTCAGCTTATTGATCAGAGTGCCTCCCCTTCTTCCGTGAGTACCTAGAAGGGCCTCCCACTGCCCCTCAGATCAAAGTTAGGTCCCTTACTATAGAAATCTCTAGGATTTTGTGGAAATCTGTTCCACTTCTCTCATAATTAGCTCAACAGCACTTAACAACAACTCACCTTTCTACCTGTTGGCTCTCCCCAGTTTTAGACTTGCTGGAATCATGCCTGGCCTTTGCAGCCCCAAGAACATTTAGCTGAACTCTTTTTTCTTTCTTTTTTTTTTTAAATACACTTTTCCCTCATGACCACCCATCAAATTGTATGACCCCATGATTAATCCTCCTCCACTGCACAGTCTCACCCCTCTGCCTCCACTGTCCCCTCCTTTGGCTCCTCATACTCATTCTACAGTATGGTTTTATGCAATATTTGTCCTTATGAGACTGAGTTAGTTCATGCAGCATAACACTCTCCAGTCCCTCCCAAATTAGGTCATAATTTACAATATCATTGTTCCTGCATCTAGCTGAACTGTTGGTGGTAGTTTATATGTCTCTTTTCACATTATGAGTCCAAGGGGTACATGCCAGCCTCCCTTTTGACAGACCCATGCTTCTGGTAGACACTGCCATGCGTCCTGGAACTGCTCACCATATTGCCTTTGTTAGAACAGTGACCTTCAGCAGATTGTTTGCTGAGTTCTCATGCAAGTCCTGCCTCACAGAGTTTACTTTCTATCAAGTGATAATCACCACCTTATGTTGAAGTCCTACTATGTGTTAGGCACTTTTTAAAGTGTTTGCAGTCTTCACCATAGCTTAAAAGAGATGGGCTTTTCTTATTACTGTTTTACACTTGATGGACCTAAGGTTCAAGATTGTAGGTAGTCTGTTCCTTGTCCCATCCCTAGCGGAGACCTGGGTGGGGTTGTGAAGCCAGACCTGTTGACCACAAAGTCCACAGTCACAACCCTCAGAGCATGGAGTGAATTGGTGGATGGCTGAGAGGATGCAGACTGCCTTCTCTTTTTCCCGTCTCACCGTCCTATGTTCTCTTTCAATAGATTGAGCCGTACATGCCATATGAATTCACGTGCGAGGGGATGCTGCAGAGAATCAACGCCTTCATCGAGAAACAGGTAAGGCTCTGCATCAGTCAGGCAGTCTTTGCTGCAACATCCTTCAGGCCACCCCACAAGGTGCTCAGGCATGCCCAGAGCTCAGCCTGACTATGAGGTGGTTGTCCTGCTGTGGAAAACACTGCCAAGCCAAATAATGACTGTCGAACTTCCAAAGCCTTTGCTTTCCTTCTCATACAAGGCCAGCAGTCATTTCCTGAGAACACTCTGTAATTCTTTAGTGTGCTTTTTATGTGAAAGGTCATGTGGAAATTTAAATAGGAGAGACTGGCTGGCCATAATGAAGATCTCTTCAACTCTCAGACCCTGCCTTTGAGTGAATTCCAAGGGGCATCACAAAGACTTTTGGGAAAGCAAAGAGATGACACTGTGACTTTGCCTGAACTTCGTTTCTCCCTCCAAGAAAAGCAAGAACTAAATCCAGTAGGTTCCAAGGTCCTTTAATAATAAATGTGCAGTGATTCTAAAAATATTAAACTCTTACTGCATTTCACATATCTTTTAAAAGTAAGACCCCTTTTCAAATACAACCTCTCATGAAACCTAAGTGTATAAAACAGATAAAAGCAGAACTTTAGCTCTGAAGCAGGAGAAGGTCCCAGAAACCCTACGACTCCCAACAGAGTGTGGAGACTATAGATTGTGTTCATAGAAATGAGGGCCACAAGGGCCACTGACCATCATTGTTACAGCATTTTAATTCCTTTGAGCTTCAAAAAGTGACCTGAAGCTGAAAATAGACTCAGAACCCCCATGGGTAGGGGAAAGATGAACTCCTTGACCGAGTTCTAGAAATAGAGGAATCTCTTAAAGTGAAAAGCTGCATTTCAGGGCTTCAAGAGCTCTTATACCTCAGGGGGCAAGGCTTGTATGGGCCTCAAATAGAAACAGGTATTGAAAGTTTAAGTAGGCTTAGATTATGGGCCCTAAGTAGGTTAGGGAAGGAAATTAGAGATGGGAGGGAATAAAGTTTGTAAGACAGCCAACAGCTGTTATAGGACAGTAGAGCCTATGGGTCAACGTCCCCAGGGTGATCTCTCTGGTATCTTGAGTTCTTCACCAGATTTGAGGAGAGCACTCTTGGGAATCTACTCCCCGAGTTCAAATTCCAAGCCAGGAGTATATGATTATATTGATGGGACATGTTATTCAATCTCCTAATGTTTCAGGATCTTACTGTGTAAAATAAAGCTAATCCAAGAACCTGCCTCATAGGTCTCATCTAACTCATGCCTTCAACAGGGCCTGACACCTCCTTTCAATAAATGCAGATTAGTGCTATCAATGGCTCAAAGCATGAGGCCAAAGCATTTGGATCATTAGCTCTTTTAGTCTCTATAGGATGCCTGTGGTAAGAATGTGTTCTTTATTTTGTCTTCAGCATCATAACTGTGGCATAACATAACAAAGACAGTGGGATTGCATTTACAGGTATAAGGGTTGGGATCCCAGCACATTCTTTCAAAGGGACAGGATGGTTATCTAGTGTCATTGCTGGAGGCTCCCTGAGGTCTGACCACATTTCTGCATCTGTGTCTAAAACCCAGTGCCCCCTTTTTTCCCCTTCACTCTGTGGGTGTTGACCACGACTCCTGCGCAACTCTTTCTCAGTCTTACCAACTTATCCACTGACTTCCTTCCCTGAGCCTCATGTGGCCCACCCTCTGCAGTCAGTCCTCAAAGGTGCTCCTCTCCGGAGCCTGTTCTCTGTAAACCTTTTGCTATGTTTTCTTTCAAACAAGAAGGTGCCATTCCTAAAATAGATCTTACCAAATGCTCTAGTGTGGGAGCCTTGCCTAGCTTTTCACGTCTATATTTCAAGGGCCTGGTACATAGCAAATAAACAGTAATTGCCAATTTAATGAGTGAATAAAGTGAGTGGGAAGGTTAAGTGAGTGAAGGTGCTTTTTATTTGCATGTTTAGAAACCAGGAAGCCCCTTTTGAACTTGGTAATTGGCAAAACATGGTACTTAAATTGTCTCCTGGAAACGTGCTAATACAGCTGCCCTTTTACACTACCTTGTAGATAATAACTTAGGCTGCGATCTGCAGCTCATGTCAATCCAGAGTTTTCATTTTCAGTCACTGCCATTGTTTCACTCCTTCCCTCTGGAGACATCTGTTGGCTGGAGTATAAGCTGTGCTAGAGGTGGAGAAGCTTCAAGGTCAGAGGCACAGTCGGCCCTGGGTTAGTTTCGATTTCCTGGAGGTAATTGGAAGTCAAATGCACAGACAGTACTACTGTGCCAGTGATGTAGCCTGATGGTGGATCTTGTAACCGAGTGTACAAGGAGAGAGGGATCGGAAGAATGGAGGGATGATGGTATCTCAGGGCCCTCTGGAGAAACAGATCCAGTGAAATATCCCTACAAAGATGTCATGCTTAAATGAAACTGAAGATCAGCAAAGAAGAGAAGCCCTCAGTGGAATGACATGACCCATTGATGACAGTGGTGGCTGAAGCCCAGGAGTGATTGTGACAGTGTGGAAGGACCAGCCAGCATTTTGATGATCCTCTGTGTTGTAAATAAGCTTGCTATAAACCTTCGCCCAAACATCATTTTGTGATCCAAGAACTCTTCCCTCCTTCCCCAAATTTCTAATTGTCAGTCAAATTCCTGTTCATGTTGTTCCTAGACCTAACACCTTGATTCCATAGAAGTTCACTTGCACCTAGAAATTCTATAGGGAAAAAAAATTATCTATGTATGTATGTATAAAATCTCCTTAACATCTTGATATCGTCCCTTTGCTTTGGCTTCTCAGCGCTCTAGTGCAATATTGAGAGTTTCTTCTGACATCCATCTTGGTCTTGTCTTTCTCCTCTGTCTTTGCAATGACATCTTTTTGCATTCTTCCTGGATGATATTCTTGATATTTTCCCACAACTCATCCGGTCTTCGCTGACTAGTGTTCAAGGCCTCAAATCTGTTCCTGAGATAGTTTTGAAATTTAAGAGGGACAGACTCCATATCAAATGTTGATGCCCATGGATTTCATTTAATTTTCCTTAGATTCAGCTTGAATTTGCATAGAGTAGTTGGTGGTCTTTTCCACAATCAGCACCTGGCCTCATTTTCACAAGCTGATATTGAGGTGCTCCAGTGATTCCTTTCACAGATGTAATCGGTCTGATTCCTATGCATACCATCAGATGAAATCCATGTGTATAGCCTTCGTTTATGTTTCTTATAAAAGGTATTTGCAATGAAATAAGTAGTTGATTGTGCAAAATTCTATCATTCTCTCTCCAAGTCCGTGTTTTCCAACTACTTATCCTTCTTCTCTTTTGCATTCCAGTCACCATTATTATTAATGCATTTTGATTGCATGTTTGATCAGTTTCTGACTGAAAAAGTTGGTAGGAATCTGTTTCCTCCTCTTTGGCTCTGGTTGTTGGTGCATGTATTTGAATGATGTTGGTATTCACTGGACTTCTTGTATGTATATGGATACTATCCTATCACTCACAACATTGTATTTCAAGACAGATCTAGAAATGACTTTTTAATTATGAAACCAACCCCATTTTTTCTCACTTTTTCGTCTTCAGCAAAGAAGAACGCAACAGAATATTCCAAAGGGCAGTGCAAGAAGACAAAGTAAAGCATTAACAATGAAATGTGCAGGAAGCTGAAGTCAGAAAATCAAAGGTCCGAACTTGCTCAGCATTTCTTGAGCTGAAGGAACCAAAGAACAAATTCAAGCCTTGAGTTGCACTACTTGAGGATGCTTTGGGCCGAATATTAAATGACCCAGGAAGTATTAAAAGAAGGTGGAACGAGTATATAGTCATTGTACTGAAAGAAATTGGCATACATGGAAGAATTTCATGAAACAACGTATGAGCAAGAGCCTGTGGTGATAAAGGAGGAAGTTCAAGCTGCTCTGAAAGAATTGGCAAAAACAAGGCCCCAGGAATTAACATATTTCAACAAACAGATGCTGCCCTGGATTTGCTCACCAGATTGTGCCCAGAAATCTAGAGGACAAACACCTGGCCAACTGACTGGAATAGGGATCTATATTTCTTCCCATTCCAAAGAAAGGTGATCCGACAGAGTATGAAAATTATCTAACAATATCATTAATATCACATGCAAGCAAGATTCTGCTGAAGATTATCCAAAAACGACTGGAATAGCACATCAACAGAGAACTACCTGAAGTGCAGGCTGGGTTTAGAAGAGGCCGTGACACTAATGATATTATAGCTAATATCAGATGGATTTTGGCTGAAAGCAAAAATTACCAGAGGAATGTCTATCTGTGTTTCAATGACTATGCAAAGGCATTTGACTGTATAGATCAAAACAAACTTTGGCTGACTCTGAGAAGAATGGGAATACCAGAACACTTGATTGTGCTTATGCAAAATCTATACTTGGACCAAGAGGCAGTTGTCAGAACAGAACAAGGAAGTACTTCATGGATCAAAATTGGGAAGGGTGTGTGCCAAGGATGTGTCCTATCTCCATATCTTTTCAATCTATATGCAGAGTAGATTATCTGGGAGGCTGGGCTCTGTGAGGAGAAATGTGGCATCAGGATTGGAAATAGACTTATCAACAATCTGCATTATGCAGATGACACAACCCTGCTTGCTGAAACTGAGGAGGACCTGAAGCGCTTGCTGTAGAAGGATTGAAGCTCAACATTAAGGGAAAAAAATGCCAAAAGACTCTCACCACTGGGCCAGTTGGTGGCATCATGATGGATGGTGAAGAGATTGAGATTGTCAGCAGCTTCAGTTTGCTTGGCTCTACAATCAACACTCTTGATACCAGCAGCCAGGAAAATAAAGGACGAATTGCATTGGGAAAGTCTTCTGTCAGAGACCTCTCCAGACTACTGTAGAGCAATGATATCAGTCTGGAGACGAAGGTGCTCCTGATACAGGCCATGGTCTTTGCAATTACTTGCTATGCATCAGAAAGCTGGACAATGACTAGGCATGATAAGAGGAGAATTGATGCCTTTGAGCTGTGATGCTGGAGAG